CCTCTGAGTTCCTCTCCATCTCTCTCACCCATGTGGCACTTAGCACACACTGCTCTGGATTCTATTTAAACACTCAACTTGCTTATATCTTGGTTTCTTGGTTGTCCAAGGAGAGCACAGGCCTCTGGAGGGCAGGAGATGTATAGAAAGCAAATTTTTCTGTAACCAAAAAAAAATTTTGTTTTTAGACAGAGTCTTGCTGTGTCTTCCAGGCTGGAGTGCAATGGTGCCATTTCTGCTCACTGCAACCTCCGCCTTCTGGGTTCAAGCAATTATCCTGCCTCAGCCTCCCGAGTAGCTAGGACTACAGGTGCCTGTCACCATGCCCAGCTAATTTCTGTATCTTTAGTAGAGATGAGGTTTCATCATGTTGGTCAGGCTGGTCTTGAACTCCTGACCTCAAGTGATCCACCCATCTTGGCCTCCCAAAGTTGCTGTGATTACAGGCGTGAGCCACCGCGTCTGGCAAAATTTTAAAAATATATACAGAAGTATGTAAAACGTATTATGCACAGTTCAAAGAACAATAAAACAGCCACTTAGCCACCAGTCTACTTAACAAAACCAGTGTCCTGGAAGTCCTGTACGCTGCTCCTCTGATTACAACCCCTCCTCTATCCTGGAGGCAGCCTCTCTCCTAAATTCTGGGGTAGTCACTCTGACTTTTTTAACAAAACAGCTGTATACCCCAAGCATGTATTCTGAAACAGTAACAGTACTGCCAAGTTTTGCCTGGTTTTGAACCTCACGTAAAGGAGCCACACTGTATGGACCCTTTGGTGACTTCTTTCTTTCACTCAACATTATTCCCAAGACTCATCTATGCCCCTGCAGCTGTAGTCCATCCTCCTCTGCAGCTGCACAGCATCTCACGGTTCGGATGCACTGCAGTTCACAGATCCCCCTGCTGCTGGTGCTGGGCACATGCATTGTTTCTGTTGGTTTTGACTTTACAGTAAGGAACAGCACTGCAGGGAGCACTTGTCCCCATCTTCTGCACACCTGTTCAAGAATTCTCAAAGGCATCTGCCCATGGTTAAACTGCTGGGCCACATGCATTCCACTGCCAAATGCTTTTGCAAAGCAGAACCCATTCACACTCCTGCCAGCAGCAGGTTTGTGCCACTCCTCAATGTCACTGGCTGGTAGCATCCAAAGCTTCACCTTCTGCCAACAGGGTGGCTGTGAAATGGTATCTCGTTATGGTTTTAATTTACATTTCCCTGGTTACTAATAAGGCTACAGTCCTTTTTATACGTATGTGCTGTCTGTGTTTTGTAATCTTTGAAACGCCCATTCCTATCTTTTGTCCTTTCCTTCTTTTTCTCTCAGAATTGTAAGAATTCTTTAAATAGTCTAGATACTAGCTCTCTGTATGTTTTGTGTCTCATTACAGTGTCTTTGATGAATTAAATGTGCCATTATTATTTTGAGACAAGGTCTGGCTCTACTGCCCAGGCTGATGTGCAGTGGCATGGTCACAGCTCACTGCAACCTCCGCCTTCCGGGCTCAAGCCATCCTCCCACCTCAGCATCTCAAGTAGTTGGGACTACAGACATGTACCACCAAGCCCGGTTTTTTGTTTTTTGTTTTTTTTCTTTTCTGGTAGAGATGGGGTTTCGCCATGTTGCCCAGGCTGGTCTCGAACTCGTGAGCTCAAGCCATCCACCTGCCTTGGCCTCCCAAAGTGCTGGGATTACAGGTGGGAGCCACTGCACCTGGCTGAATATCTTAATTTCGAAATAGACAAATGCATCAATCTTTCTGCTTTAGGGTTTGTACTCATTACGTTTTCTTTCAGAAATCCCTCCTTAGCCTCAGGTCATGAAGAAATTTTTTTGAATTATTTTCTATAAATTATACACTTTTGCTTTTTCAGTTTAAGTCTTTAATCCTCCTGGTGTTTTGTGATGGTGTGAGGCTGGGATCTCACACAACTTCTTTTTTTTTCTTTTTGAGACAGAGTATCTCTCTGTCACCCAGGCTGTAGTGCAGTGGTGCGATCTCAGCTCACTACAACCTCTGCCTTCCAAGTTCAAGCGATTCTTCTGCCTCAGCCTCCCAAGTAGCTGGTACTACAGGCGCGTGCCACCACGCCTGGCGAATTTTTGTATTTTTTTTTTTTAAGTAGAGACGGGTTTCACCATATTGGCCAGGCTGGTCTCAAACTCCTATCCTCGTGATCTGTCCGCCTCAGCCTCCCAAAGTACTGGGATGTGCCCGGCCAGATCTCACACATCTTTATATTCCTCCTCAGCACCTGACATGCTGCTGTAAACAATTTTATTTAATAAATAGAACCAAATACTGCTTTGTGTTCAAAGCTTCAAATTTAACTCTTGAGAAAAAATCTAAGAAGCTTCTCATACTCTGTGTCAGCAGTTTGACAAAGTTAGTCATTGGTGTATCATGACTTTTTGGGATTTATTTGCCTTCACTGCCAATTTTTGGTATAGGACTAAACGCACAATGAAGCTGAGCCTAAGAGCAGCAACATGGAATCAGAAATCTGGAATCTAGTCCAAGATCCAATACTCCTCACTGTCATGTCTGTATTTGTGCAATAAGAATTAAAATATTCAGACTACCCCACTCCTAGGCGGATACCTAAGATAATTAGAAACTTTTGCTCACATAAAAACTCCTACTTGCATGTTCACAGCAGCCTACTCACAACTGCCAGAAGGCAGAAACAAACAAATTATCTATCAATGAATAAATGAATAAGCAAAATGTGGTGTTACCCATACAAAGGAATATTATTCAGCCATAAAAAAGCATGAAGTACCGATACATACTACAACATAGATAAACTTTGAAAACATTATGCTAAAGGACAGAAACCAAATACAAAAGGCCGTATGTTGTATGTTTCCACTTGTATGAAATGTCCAGCGTAGGCAAATCCACAGATAGAAGATAAATTGGGGCTGCTGAGGGACAGGGGGAGAAAAGGGGTATGACTGTTAATGGGGTTGGGGTTTCTTTTGTAGGTGATAAAATGTTCTGGAATTAGTTACTGGTGATGGATGCATAGCATTGTGACTATGGTAAGAACTACCTAGTTATACACTTTAAAATGGCTAAAATGATAAATTTTATGTCATGGGTATTTCATTTCAATTTTAAAAACCTACTTAAAAAAAAAAGTACCACCAATTTGTTCAACTCTGTGCCCCTGCAATATTCCTGCAGTAATTAAAACCAAAAACAGCCAGGTACAGTGGCTCATGTCTGTAATCCCAGAACTTTGGGAGGCCAAGGCGGGCAGATAACCTGAGGCCACGAGTTCAAGACTACCCTGACCAACACAGTGAAATCCTGTCTCCACTTAAAAAAAAAAATTAGCTGGGTGTGGTAGCACACGCCTGTAATCCCACCCAGCTACTCGGGAGGCTGAGGCACAAGAATCGCTTGGGCCTGGGGCGGGGGGGACGTTGGTAGCAATGAACTGAGATCGCAGGCACCACCGTACTACAGCCTGGGCGACGGAGCGAGACTGTCTCAATAAATAAATACACACACACACACACATTCTGAAAGGGGCCTGCCTGGGTTGGAATCCACCTCTCCATTTAAGAGCTGTGTGTCCTGAATGAAGTTACTTTGCCTCTCTCTGCACGTTGCTCACATCACCTGCAAGAAAGGGGATAACAGTTTCTGCCTAAGAACTACAAGAGGAATAAAATGACGTGGTCCATAGAAAGCACTCAGAACAGTGCCCGTCCATGAGTGTTCAACAGACCTAAGCTATTAGCCACAATTATTGTGTTTGATATTAGCTACTGGATATCTGTGGCGGTCAGAGTAAAACTGAGAACTCGCTTTATGCAAAAGATGCTGCTAAGTGCTTTATTCCTATTGTCTCACTTTATTCTCTCATTAACCTTATAAAGCGCAGCCAGATTCTCCTGTTTATACATGGGGAAACTGAAGCTCACAGAGGTAAAGTAGCACACCCAACACCCCACAACTCAGAAAGGGCTGCTTGCAATTCAGATGGAGGTGTAGAAAGAAGCAGAGTCCTGCCAGGAAGCCCACTGTGAGACCCCTAGACTACCTCGCAGTCAACTGTACACATCCTGCTGGGATCACCGAGGGGCGCTGCAGCGATCTGGTTTCTGGGGCTGTGTCTGAGTGGCACGTTTTCAGAACAGGGACCCGCCTGGTTCGTCTTCCAGCCCTTCCCCTCCAGCACCCGGCAAGGCCCAGTCAACACGAGCAAACTCGGAAATCCTATCTGAACCCAGGACCGCTGCATGAGGAATCGGCGTGCCCTTTCTTTAGGAGCTCAATTCTTCTGAATTATTTCCATTTTAGAAAAACACGGCAACAACAACTCAAACCAAATCGTTTAGAAAGGAGAATAAAGAAGCACCGACAAAGGAGGCGATTGCTGGGGTCGCTCGGGGGAGGAGCCGGGTGAGAGGCTGCAGGGAGGGCAGGGCACCCGCCGGCGACAACGGGGTTCGGGGTTTGGGGGGAGAGGCCCGGGGGAAGGGAGAGTATGGGGGTGCAGCGCCGCGGCGGGGGGCGTGGGGATGAAGCCGGCGGAAGGAGGGCTCTGAGATGTGAAGGGGCGGGGCTGGGGGTGTTTGGTCTGAAGGAAGGAGTCTCATGGGACGGAGGGACGAAGATTTCCCGGGGTCAGGGGCGCCGAGGGGCTTCGGGGCCGGATGCCGCGGAGGGGGCTCGGGGCCTGGGGGGCGTGGTGAGAACTCAGAGGGGTCCGGCTAAGCAGCCGGCTGGCGCAGAGGGGTCCAAGGCGGGCTCTGGGGCGGAAGGGCCGCGAGAGGGCGCCCAGGGCGCTGGGGGCGCGGTACCTGCAGGGCGGCAAAGTCTTCCAAACCGGTCCCGCCAGACCCGCGCGGCCACCGCCCACGTCTCTGCCGCCGCAGCTACTGCCGCTCCGCGCCCTCACGTGACTCGCGCACGCGCCGGGGGCGGAGGCGTCTCAGGGCCCCCCCGCCCGGCGTCCCCAGCGCGGCGGCCCGACCCGAGTGCGCGTGCGCGGCAGTTGCCTTGGCGACCGGGGAAGCGTTGGGCTGCAACGACTAGGGCGCGAGCCGCTGGCGAAGAAGGAAAACGGGGAGTCTCTGGCTGGGCTAGGGCCGTAGCGACGTCCACCGCGGACCGGGGCTCCCCACAGCTGCAGGGCGTTCGGTGTCGCCGAAGTAAACATGCACCCTAAACCCTCGGAGCCTGCGGCAGGTGGGGCAGCAGAGCTGGATTGCACGCAGGAGTCCGGCTTGGAGGAGTCTGCGGGTGACCACGGGAGCGCAGGCCCAGGGGGCTGCAAGGAAGGTGCCGACTGCCCCCCACGGAGGGTGGTGGGCAAGGGGCCGACACGGCTGGGCGCTCCAGTCCCCTTCCCACACCACATACCCGATCTTCACAGCCAAATAACAACAACAATAGTAACGGTAGCAGCCAACGCTCTGAAGTAGGGGCTTCTCTCCCCATTTCGTACAGAGGAGGAAATACTTAAGATACTTAAGGGGTTATAAAACTTTCTCCAAACAGATAACCCTCGGCTAGTCAGTGACAGAATAGACTCGGCCGGGCGCGGTGGCTCACGCCTGTAATTCCAGTACTTTGGGAGGCCGAGGCTGGCGGATCATCAGGTCAGTCAGGAGTTCGAGATCAGCCTGGCCAACATTGTGAAACCCTGTCTCTACTAAAAATACAAAAAATGAGCTGGGCGTGGTGGCGGGCGCCTGTAGTCTCAGCTACTTGGGTGGCTGAGGCAGGAGAATCGCTTGAACCCAGGCGGCGGAGCTTGCAGTGAGCCAAGTGGGACGCTGAGGTTGCAGTGAACCAACATCACACCACTGCACTTCAGTTTGTGGGCAACAGAGCAAGACTCCGTCTCAAAAAAAAAAAAAAAAGGAAGGAAGGAAGGAAGGCCGGCTTCAGCTTCTGCTCCCACTAGACTAGACTTGGTGCCCTAAGGGAAACCTTTCAGTGATTAGATTAAAAAGCCACTTGATTTGTGTTCCAGTTTCTGAACCCAGGCAACAAATAAACCAGCTGATTTGTGTTCCAGGCGACAAATGTATCTTAAGCATCAACTGTCCAGATGAACCTTGTATGAGGAGCCATAGGGAACTGGCATTGCTCAGTGGAAAGACACTGACCTTGGAGCCATTGACACTGGGTTCAGGTTGAGGCTTAGCAGTTGGTCAGTTTTATGGCCGTTGGCCCAGAGCTTAACCTCTCGGAGCCTTAGTCTCCTCATCTGTAAGCTGGGATAATTATACAGGAGTATATGGAGAGAATTGCAATTAAATGCTCCAGCATATAGTGGGCCATTATTAAATGGTAGCTCTTGTTATTAATTACATATTAATATTTATATATCGAGCGCTTATTCTTTATTTTTTCCGCAAACATTTATCTGTTGCTTCCTGTGGCTGGGCATTCTATGCAAAATTGATGAGTTTAAGAATCAGTCCCCCCACACACAGCCTTTAGTCTTGTTCAATAGACCACACAAACACAGAAAGCAGTAGACAACCGCTCTTAAAGTTAAGTGCACTTGAATTGGCCAATTTTGAATGACCTTTAAAAAAATTATTCATTTGAATGTGCTTATGTTATTTTTATCAAAGATATTCTCACTATTTTTGTTTCTTTTCATGTGATTTTCCTTTTGAAGATTTTTTTTAAGAGATAGAATCTCACTGTGTTACCCAGGCTAGATCTTCCTGCCTCAGCCTCCTGAGTAGCTGGGACTACAGGCATGCTCCACTACACCTGGCTTGAGAAATTTTTTAAAAGGCAAAAGAACAAAGAACATTAAAACAAATACCCATGTTTTGCCAGCAAGAACTGAAAATGATTAACATTTTATCATATTTACTTGAAGTCTTTTTTAATTAAAGAAATAAGTTCCCCCCAAACAAAAAATAAATAAAAATAAATAAGGCCGGGCACGGTGGCTCACGCCTGTAATCCCAGCACTTTGGAAGGCCAAGGCAGGCGGATCACCTGAGGTCAGGAGTTTGAGACCAGCCTGGCCAACATGGTGAAACCCTGTCTCTACTAAAAATACAAAAAAAATTAGCTGAGCGTGGTGGTAGGCGTCTGTAATCCCAGCTACTTGGGAGGCTGAGGCATGAGAATTGCTTTAACCTGGCAGGCGGAGGCTGCAGTGAGCTGAGATCCCAGCACTGTACTCCAACCTGTGGGATAGACCAAGACTGTCTCCAAAAAAAAAAAAAAAAGAAAGAAAACATTTCACATAAAGTTGGTGTTCCTTTTGTCCCCTGTCCCCCGCCTGATTTCTAATCCCATTCCTTTCCTCCCTTGTCCAGAATTTTATATGGATTCTTGCAAGCACTTCTCTATACATATATGCCCTGAAACAATGCGTAGCATTGGTTTGCATATTTTTACTTTATATACGGTATCCTGTGCTTATTGTGAAACTTGCTTTTTTCACTCCATATACGTTTCTGAGAATTATCCCTATGGATAGATGTAGTTCTAGTGCATTCTTCTCAAAGGTAGAAAAGCAAGTCATTGTTTTTTGTAACCAGTCCCTATGGATGGACATTTACATTGTTAACAGTTTTTGGCTTTTACAAAAAATGCAGAAACAAATCTCTTTGTCCATGTTTTCTTGTGCACCTGTACAAAAGTTTTTATAGAGGACTACCTACAAGTGAAATTTACATAGTCTTTGCCAGTGCTTTAAAAATTGTTATACCTTTAGGCCGGGCATGGTGGCTCACGCTCGTAATCCCAGCACTTTGGGAGGCCAAGGTGGGTGGATCATGAAGTCAGGAGATTGAGACCATTCCGGCTAACACAGTGAAACCCCATCTCTACTAAAAATACAAAAAAAAAAAAAAAAAATTAGCTGGGCATGGTGGTGAGCACCTGTAGTCCAAGCTATTCAGGAGGCTGAGGCAGGAGAATGGCGTGAACCCGGGAGGCGGAGCTTGCAGTGAGCTGAGATGGCACCACTGCACTCCAGCCTGGGCGACAGAGCGAGACTCGGTCTCAAAAAAAAAAAAAAAAAAAAAAAAAAAAAAAAAAAAACAATTGTTATGCATTTAAAGATTACTAGTGTTCTTTTTTTTTTGGAGAGACAGGGTCTCATTTTGTTGCCCAGGCTGGAGTGCAATGCTGTGAACACAGCTCACGTAGCCTCAACTTCCCAAGCTTGAGTGATCAACCTGCTTCAGCCCCACAAGTGGCTGGGACTACAGGCACGCACCACTACATCTGGCTAATTTTTGTATTTTTTGTAGAGATGAGGTTTGCCATGTTGCTCAGGCTGGTCTCAAATACCTGGGCTCAAACAATCCACCTGCCTCAACCTCCCAAACGGCTGGGATTACAGGCATGAGCCACCTATACCCAGCCGCTAAAGGATACTGGTGTTCTATAGTAAAAGTGGATGGTCATTAACCAAGCTGAAGTTGGGGGATATTTTTTGGTATATATCTTGATCTCTACAGACCTGATCTCTTTTATTTTACAGAAATTAATGATCCTAAGGAAATATGTGTGGGTTCTTCTGCCACATCCTACCAAAGCCAGCAGAAACAGAGTGGTGATAATGGGTCAGGTGGTCACTGTGCACACCCAAGAGAAGACAGAGAAGATCAGGGCCCCAGGTATGTGGGCAGGCTGCCATGTAGTGCACATTTACGGAGTAAGGTGGATGATGTAATCTCTCCCTTGTACAATAAGGAAATAGAGGCTGGTAGAGGTTGAATTGCCTGCCTGGTGTCTGAGAATGGAGTGAAGATGGCACTGCCTCTGCTGCACAGCTGAGCGCATATTCTATTCACCTTTAATGCCAGACCTGCAGAGAGGAACAGCAGTAGTTCCTGATGACACCATTTAAAGTATTTTTTATTAGAACATACATTGCAATTTTTAGGCTGGGCACAGTGGCTCACGCCTGTAATCCCAGCACTTTGGGAGGCTGAGGCAGGCGAATCACGAGGTCAGGAGTTTGAGACTGGCTTGGACAATATGGTGACACCCCATCTCTACTAAAAATACAAAATATTAGCTGGGCATAGTGGCGGGCGCCTGTAATCCCAGCTACTCGGGAGGCTGAGGCAGGAGGATCGCTTGAACCCGGGAGGTGAAGATTGCAGTGAGCCAAGATCGTACCACTGTACTCCAGCCTGGATGACAGAGTAAGACTCCATCTCAAATAAAAAAAAAAAGAGCATACATTGCAATTTTTAAGAATGCTGAAAATAGGCCAAGCACAGTGGCTCATGCCTGTAATCCCAGTACTTTGGGTGGCCGAGGTAGGTGGATCACCTGAGGTCTGGAGTTCAAGACCAGCCTGACCAACATGGTGAAACCCCATCTCTACTAAAAATACAAAAATTAGCCGGGCATGGTGGTGCATGCCTGTAATCCCAGCTACTTGGGAGGCTGAGGCAGGAGAATCGCTTGAACCCAGGCGGTGGAGGTTGCAGTGAACTGAGATTGTGCCATTGCACTCCGGCCTGGGCGATAAAGTGAGACTCCGTCTCAAAAAAGAAAAAATGCTGAAAATAATACTGGATGAGGCCCTAAAATCTATATAAAAAAGAAGAAGAAAAAGAAAAGGAGAAAGAGAAAAAGAAGAACTTAAAATAGGTATCAGGCATATAGGATGTTACAGAATTTTGGGCAGGAATGGATGTGGTAAAGAACTGTGAGAATATATTTTACAGCTGACAATTTGCAGTAAGCTTATTCATATTTTACATTTTAACAGAATGACTAAAAGTTCCCTGCAAAAACTCTGCAAGCAGCACAAGCTTTATACTACCCCAGCATTGAATGATACGCTGTATTTACACTTTAAAGGTAAGGACCTAAGAGAGGAAGTGCTTCATGTCAGGTGGAAGGATTCTGTCTAGCGGTATAAAAAATTACTTGCAGGGATCATCTTTAGTTCTCAGAATGTATCTAAGCAGCAAATTTCAGAGTTTAGTGGAGATTTATGGAAAAGGAATAACTTTTATTTCAAGAAAAAGTCTTGCCTGACCAGAGTTTACAAAGGAGCCACTGGCTCTAGGAATACCAAGGAAACACATTATCTTTTATTGTTGTTTCCTAAGGAATTTCTTTTCTTTTTTCTTTTCTTTTTTTTTTTTTTCAGATGGTGTCTTGCTCTGTTGCCCAAGCTAAAGTGCAGTGGCACAATCTCTGCTCATTGCAGCCTCTGCCTCCAGGTTCAAGCAATTCTCCTACCTCAGCCTCCTGAGTAGCTGGGTTGCAGGTACCCGCCACCACACCTTGCTAATTTTTGTATTTTTAGTAGAGGCGGGGTTTCACCATGTTGCCCATTCTGGTCTCAAACTCCTGAGCTCAGGCAATCCACCTGCCTCAGCCTCCCAAAGTGCTGGGATTACAAGTGTGAGCCACTGTACCCAGCTAGGACTTTAATTTTTCATACCGGAAAGTTAGTTTGTAAGTACTTTGGGCTTGGGAAGTATATGTTGGGAAGGATTGCAGCTTGATGTTGGAAACAAATAATGAGGATCTTTGGGTGCCTCTTAGAATGGAGAGGCATGAGCAGGAGCCTGGGATGGAGTCCAGTATCACATATAAATGGAAGCTCAGGTTCACAGACAGGGCTTTTCCCAGCCTGAGGGCTCCCAGCCTGTGCTGATGGGGTGACCAACTTGCTCATCAGTCCTCTCATTGTTCATTTGTTTCTTCGGTAGCTGTTTGCCGAGAGTCTACCGTGTGCCCAGCACTGCTCAGCACTGAAAATGCACAGAGGGAACCGGCAAATGTGTCTTTGGTGTCCTGGGGGATGGGAGCAGCTATTATGAGGATGGTGCCCTGGCAGGGAGACGCCCAAAGGGATCCAGGAGCACAAATGCCTCAAGGGATCAGAACAACTCCTATGGGTCTCCTCACCTCCACTTTTGCCCACTCCAAAATTCCCCATCCAGCATCCAAGTGTAGCAGTGAGTAAGATGATATAGGAGGACAGACCCCCGGGGGACTGATACTTAAGAGGCGGGAAGGAAAAAGGAACCAGTAAGTTTGACTAAGTAGAGACAGTCAGAGAGGTAGAAGAGCTAGGAGAGAGAGGTGCCCATATTAGTTATCTATTGCTACATAATTAACTACCCCGAAACTTAGCAACTTCAACTCATGATCTCACCCAGTTTCTGAGGGCTGGGAACTCGGGAGTCATGAGCTGGGTGGTTCTGGCTCAGGGTCTCTCATGAGGCTATAGTCAGACTGTCAGAACAGCCTCACTCATTTGATGGCTTGAGTGGGGCTGGAGAATCCGCTTCCAGGCTCTAGGCCTCACCCTCATAGCTGTCAGCCAGAGGCCTTAATTTCTCACCACATGAGCCTCCCCATGGGAGCTGGCTTCCCTTAGAGCAAGTTACCCAAGAAAGGAAGCAAGGCCAAGACAAAAGTGGAAGTGACACTTCATCACTCCATTGTATGCTGTTGGTGTCAGGATCCACTCCTGTCTTACTGCATTGCTAACATGAAGGCATCGATACTAGGAGGGTGATCCAGAGAGCCTGAGGAGGAAGCTGGGAAAGGGGTGCAGGGCCCATGGGCCAGATGCATTGGAATGGTCAAGGGCTAAGAGGACTGCCAATAGCATGTAGCAATTAGGATCTTAGGGAGACTTTAGCCAGGTGGTTGCAGTGATGGGGGGATCCAGTGGGTAGCAGCAAGTTGGAGATGGCTTGAACAGCAAAGAGGGAGGAGATGGGGTGAGAGCTAGAGCAAAGACCAGGGAGAAAAACTAGAGTGTCAGAAACCAAGGGGAAAATAATCCAGTTTCTTCAACAAAAAACTGCAATGGAAGAAAGAGAGAGACACACACACACTCTAGGTTAAAAGTGATGTAAGGCCAGGCGTGTGGCTCTTGCCTGTGATTCCAGCAATGTGGGAGGCCGAGGCAGGCAGATCAGGAGTTTGAGACCAATCTGGCCAACATGGTGAAACCCTGTCTCTGCTAAAAATACCAAAAAAAAAAAAAAAAAAAAAAATTAGCCGGGTGTGGTGGTGCGTGCCTGTAATCCTAGTTACTTGGGAGGCTGAGGCAGGAGGTGGGCTGCAGTGAGCTAAGATTGTGCCACTGCATTCCAGCCTAGGCAACAGAGCAAGATTCTGTCCAAAAAAAAAAGGTTGGCTGGGCGCGGTGGCTCACACCTGTAACCCCAGCACTTTGGGAGGCCGAGGCAGGCAGATCACCTGAGGTAAGGAGTTCGAGACCAACCTGGCCAACATGGTGAAAACCCATCTCTACTAAAAATACAAAAATTAGCCAGGTATGATGGCAGGTGCCTGTAATCCCAGCTACTCAGGAGGCTGAGGCAGGAGAATTACTTGAATCTGGGAGGTGTAGGTGTAGGGTATAGTGAGCTAAAATTGTGCGATTGCACTCCAGCCCGGGTAACAAGAGCCAAACTCTATCTCAAAAAAAAAAAAAAAAAAAAAGTGACTTAAGAGACATCCACTAATTACAAGGTTCGGACCTTATTTGTATGTTGATTCAGACAGTAAACAGTTTGGGAAAAAAAGATAACAAAGAAGTGTGACCAGTTACTGGCTATTTGATGACATTGAGAAACTGTTGTTTAGACGTCACAATGGTGTTGTGCCTATCTTAAAGACGTAAAGACAAAAAAAAAAAAAGTTCCTATCTTTCATAGATACTGACTTCAGCATGAAGACCTTGGAGCAACATGACAAATATTTTCGCTACAAAAATTTTTGTGGAGAGAGTTTACAAGGAGGGAGAGCATCAGGAAGAATAGCTAATGGATGCTGGGCTTAGTACATAGGTAACGGGATGACCTGTGCAGCAAATTACCATGGCACACACTTACCTATGTCACAAACCAGCACATCTGGCACAGGAACCCATGAACTTAAAATAAAACTTGAAGAAATAAAATAATCAAATTTTTTGTGGAAAAAAGATAGGATTAAAAAAGTCTATCTATACAATACCTATGTTTAAGTGTATTCTATAACTATTTTAAATATTATGTATGCTCATAGCAAGCTTGGCAGGCGAGAGAGAAAAATGAAAACGATTATCTGTTGGCAGGAACATGGGTGCATTTTTGCTCACCACTGATATGAAAAATTTGTAATAAAAACTTTTTCAGGCAACAAAATAAAGAACTTTAAAAAGTGTTGGTAATAGTAGGTAAAGCGTGAATTACACATTGATGATGAGTACTACACATTGTGAATTACACATTGATGATTACTAAAGGAAATTAAACGTTTGTTTTCCTAACCCTAAATTTGGCTCATAAAACTGAGAAAGAGAACAAAAGAAGGCCTACAGTTTGCACCAGGGTTAGGCCTGGTGGGGACATTTTCAGGGCAGGCTTACCCCCACTGCACCCCCACCTCCATCCACTCCCTACCATGAAGGCAGCAGTAGGCTCCACCCTTTCAGGTGGGTGATTCCAGCAGAAAGACTATCCGTCTTTTCAGCAAGACCCCCTGGGCTGCATCAAAGTTGGTCTTGCTTGGCTAAGTGTGGCCACCCCCGAATGAGTCCCCATGACTCTGACCGGCTGCCCAGAGAGTCATCATGTGGTATTAGGAGAAGGAAGGTTCCTCCAAGAAAAGTTGGTACTGGAGGAAGGAGGTGTGGATGCCAGGTAGGCAGGTGTCTTAGTCTGTTTTGAGCGACTAAGATACAATAGCCTGGGTGGCTTGTAAACAACAAAAATGTGTTTCTCACAGTCTGGAGGCTGGGAAGTCCAAGGTGAAAGGACTGGCGGGTATGGTGGCTGGTGAGAGCCTGCTTTTTTATTCTCAGACAGCACTTTCTTGCTGTATCCTCATGGAGTGAAGATGGCCAAGGAGTTCTCTGGGGCCTCGTTTATGAGGCCACTAATCCCATTCCTGAGGGTTCTTCTCTCATGACCTTATCACCTCCCAAAAGTCCCACCTCCTAATACGATCACATTAGGGGTTAGGATTTCAATGTATGAATTTTGAAGGGACACAGACATTCAGTCCCTAATAGTAGGCAAAAACAAGGGTGACCATGACCCCTCTGCCCTGTGAGTGGGAGCTGAATTCCCATGTGCTTCCTTCTTGTTAGGTTTTGATCGCATTGAGAACCTGGAAGAGTACACAGGGCTGCGCTGTCTCTGGCTGCAGAGCAATGGAATACAGAAAATCGAAAACCTGGAGGCGCAAACCGAGTTGCGTTGCCTCTTCTTGCAAGTGAACTTGCTCCATAAGATCGAGAACCTGGAAGCTCTGCAGAAACTGGATGCTCTTAACCTCAGCAACAATTACATCAAGACCATTGAAAACCTCTGTAAGAGTACCCAGCAAGCAGTGTGCCTATTTGCCATATGTCCATCACTTTCCCCTGAGGGAGCTTCTAAGATTTTATATTATGGGCAAGAAGTGTTTTTGGTTTTGTTTTGCTTTGCTTCTTTTTGAGACAGGGTCTTGCTGTGTCACCCAGGCTGAAATGCGGAGGTGCAGTTACAGCTCACTGCAGCCTTGACCTCCTGGTCTCAAGCGATCCTCCCACGTCAGCCTCCCAGGTAGCTGAGACCATAGACGCATGCCACCAGACCTGGCAAGTTTTTCTACTTTTTATAGATATGGGGTCTCACTGTGTTGCCCAGGCTGATCTCAAACCTCCTGGGCTCAAAAGATTCTCCTGCCTTAGCCTCCCAAAGTGCTGGCATTACAGGTATGAACCACTGCACCTGGCCCAAGAAGCATTTTTATGCCTTTGTTTTTGACTTCTGCTGACCTTACCTTCCAGCCTGCCTCCCAGTCCTGAACACACTGCAGATGGCCCACAATCACCTGGAGACCGTGGAGGACATTCAGCATCTACGAGAGTGTTTGACGCTTTGTGTCCTTGACCTTTCACACAACAAGCTGAGTGACCCTGAGATCCTGAGCATTCTGGAAAGCATGCCCGATTTGGTAAAAACAAAAAAACAATGAAAAAGCACCACAGGAAACTACTTCTATTATTTTCATCAAATATCAAGTCCTTTTGTCTTTTTTCTCCTTCCTGGCTTCCTTCCTTCCCTTTTTCACACTTTTTTCCTCTTTGTGTTTTTAGCTGGAATATCTGAAATGCCAGATGTCATATTATTTTACCCTCAAATAGTTCAGTGTGTACCTCTGACAGAGAAGGACTTTTTTTTGTTTGTTTGTTTGTTTGTTTTTTTTTTGAGACGGAGTCTCACTGTTGTCACTCAGGCTGGAGTGCTATGGCACAAACTCGGCCTACTGCAACCTCTGCCTATGGGTTCAAGCAAATCTCCTGCCTCAGCCTCCCAAGTAGCTGGGATTTCAGGTGCACGCCACCACACCCAGCTAATTTTTGTATCCTTAGTAGATTCAGGGTTTCATCATGTTGTCCAGGCTGGTCTTGAACTCCTGACCCTAAGTGATCCACCCGCCTCAACCTCCCAAAGTGCTAGGATTACAAGCATGAGTCATCACGCTCAGCCACCACTCAATTGATTTTTCAAGGAAACCAGGTCCTCTGTCTGGTGTTATCCACATTCTGGATTTAGCTGATTGCATCCTTGTGGTGCCACTTAACATGTTCTGCTGGCCCTGGTATTTCCTGTAAAATGATATCAGAGTCAGAGACTGGATGGTATTCGGGCTGAGTATTTCACCTTGAGGTGTGCCGGGTTCTTCCACTGCCGGTTCCTCACATCAGGGAGCATGTGATGCCTGCTTGCTTTTCCTTTTGTCATTTTTTTTTTTTTTTTTTTTTTTGAGATGGAGTCTCACTCTGTTGCCCAGGCTAGAGTGCAGTGGCCGGATCTCGGCTCACTGCAAGCTCCGCCTCCCGGGTTTACGCCATTCTCCTGCCTCAGCCTCCCGAGTAGCTGGGACTACAGGCGCCCGCCACCTCGCCCGGCTAGTTTTTTGTATTTTTTAGTAGAGACGGGGTTTCGCCGTGTTAGCCAGGATGGTCTCGATCTCCTGACCTCGTGATCCGCCCGTCTCGGCCTCCCAAAGTGCTGGGATTACAGGCTTGAGCCACTGCGCCCGGCCTCCTTTTGTCATTTTAAGATTCACTAGTGGGTTCAGATGTTGTCAGCCTTGTCCAGCCATTATCAAGTTTCCCATCAGTCCTTCTCCCAGTTATTTCAGCAGTCACTGATGAAAGTTGCCTAGATGAATTATTTAATGAGGAGTCACACAATGACAACTTTCCAGTTCTCTCACTCTCTCAGCATTTGTTAGCTAGAATGCTTCAGCTAGAATGCTTCAACTAGAATGCTTCTACAAAGAGCTTTCACTCACCAACTAGCGGTTCATGCAGTTCATGCAGAAAAGGCCAGGATCAATGTTTGGCCCTTTTATTTATCAATTTTCTTTTTATTTCCTTTCTTTTTTTTTTTTTTTTTTTTTTACAGGGTCTTGCTCTGTCACCCAGGCTGGAGTGCAGTGGTATAATCATGGCTCACTGCAGCCTCGACCTCCCGGGCTCAAGCAATTCTCCCACCTTAGCCTCCAAGTAGCTGGGAGCACAGGTGCACACCACCACATCCGGCTAATTTTTATATTTTTTGTAGAGATGGGGTTTTGCCATATTGCTCAGGCTGGTTATTTATCAATTTTCAGTAAAATGAATTGAGACCCTAGCAACCTTTCATGGTGACAATGAAGCCTTTCTTTTTTTAGTATCATTATGAATGCATGCATTTATATATACAGTATTTGACAAGATTTAACTCTTGCAGTCACTTTAATTTTTCATGTTCAAATTTTCCCATCCAGGTGAGGTATGGTGGCTCACACCTGTATCCCAGCACTTTGGGAGGCCAAGGTGGGCAGATCACTTGAGGCCAGGAGTTTGAGACCAGCCTGGTCAACATGGTGAAACCCTATCCCTAATAATAATACAAAAATTAGCTGGGTATGTTGGTGCACGTCTGTGATCTCAGCTACTTGGGAGGCTGAGGCATAAGAATTGCTTGAACCCGGGAGGCGTTGCAGTGAGCTAAGATCTCACCACTGCACTCCAGACAGAATGAGACACTGTCTAAAAAAAAAAAATTCTCATCCTTTGGCTTGCTTCCCAAGTCCTTTTAAGTCCTCTCTAGTACCTTTGACAGCTTCCTTGCTTCTTAGTGTCTATGTGTTAACGTGTACTAGGAAAAAAATACTAAAACTAGCACACAAAACCCTTGAGTTTATTGTATACCGCTTAGTGCATTGATAAACATGGAGAAAAGCGAGTCAACTGAAAGCAAATCATAGTTCAGGAACAATCTGTAGCATGTACCATCAAAAGACTAGTTTAGAACTGCAGTGCATGGTGAGAATAGAAAGCTCTATTATATTACAATCCTCCCATTTGTTCGTTTTTGTTTTGGCTGGGGTTGCCATAAGTACCGGGTGGCTTAACCAATAGAAATATACTTTTTCGTGGCTGTGTGTGGTGCCTCATGCCTGTAATCCCAGCACTTTGGGAGGCCGAGGCAGGCAGATCACAAGGTCAGGAGATCGAGACCATCCTGGCTAACATGATGAAACCCTGGCTCTACTAAAAATACAAAAAAGTAGCCAGGCATTGCAGTGGGCACCTGTAGTCCCAGCTACTTGGGAGGCTGAGGCAGGAGAATGGCGTGAATCTGGGAGGTGGAGCTTGCAGTGAGCCGAGATCGCGCCACTGCACTCCAGCCTGGGCAACACAACTAGACTCCATCTCAAAAAGAAAAAAAAAGAAATTTATTTTCTCATAATGCTGGAGACTGAACGTCAAGAGCAAGGTGTGGGCAGGGCTGGGTTCTCCAGAGTCCTCTCCTTGGCTGGTAGAGGGCCGTCTTCTCTCTGGGTCCTCACACGGTCGCTCCCTGTGTGCTGTGTCCTACTCTCTTCTTCTAAGGACACCAGTAAGATTGGATTAGGGCCTATCCTAATGGGCTCATTTCAACTTCATCATGGCTTTAAAAGTCTTATCTCCAAATACAGTCACATTCTAAGGTGCTGAGGGACTTTAACATGTGAATTTTGATTAGGACACAATTCAGCCCAGAAGGAAAGCAGGTTGCTTTATATTAATAGTTATTTTGTGACTGCATTTAAATCCTCCCCACACCGTGTACCCCTTTATTGCTGTCTGGGTGTATTGCTCCCACCGCCCCACCCTGTGCAGGGTAAGTCACTTGAAAATAGAGCAAGAATGGTAAAGACAGCATGAGAATGAAGTTTGGGAAATGCTAAACTAACTCGTTTACGATATCTTCAACAAAGAAACACTTTAGATATGAAAAATATTCCATCGGTTTAGGCAGACAGATTTTGAAATGGTTCACCCTCATGTTGCCTTAAGCGTTCAACTTCTTTTTTTTTTTTTTTTTTTTGAGATGGAGTTTTGCTTTGTCACCCAGGCTGGAGTGCAGTGGCATAATCTCAGCTTACTACAGCCTCCGCCTCCTGGGTTCAAGTGGTTCTTCTGCCTCAGGCCCCTGAGTAGCTGGGATTACAGGTGCTTGCCACCACGCCCCTCTAATTTTTGTATTTTTAGTAGAGATGGGGTTTAACCATGTTGGCTAGGCTGGTCTCGAACCCCTGACCTCAAGTGATTCACCCACTTCAGCCTCCCAAAGTGCTGGGATTACAGGAGTGAGCCACCAAGCCCAGCCCCTCTAAGCATTCAACCTCTTTGAGTTTCTTTTTCTTTTTTTTTTGAGACGGAGTCTCGCTGTGTCTCCCAGACTGGAATGCAGTGGCGTGATCTCGGCTCACTGCAAGCTCCACCTCCCGGGTTCACACCATTCTCCTGCCTCAGCCTCCCGAGTAGCTGGGACTACAGGCGCCCGTCACCACGCCTGACTAATTTTTTGTATTTTTAGTAGAGACGGGGTTTCACCATGTTAGCCAGGATGGTCTCAATCTCCTGACCTCGTGATCCACCCGCCTCGGCCTCCCAAAGTGCTGGGATTACGGGCGTAAGCCACCACGCCCGGCCAACTTCTTTGAGTTTCTTAAGGCAGTAGAGGAGGTGACAGTATTTAAAAATGGGGGAGGATGGCAGGTGGGATTGCTGAACCCCTTCCTCCTCCCTGGTCCTAACTGACAGCAGGGAGAGCTGTAAGCTGAGGGAGAAGGGCCCTCCATCCTGTGGCACTCAGCAGAAGTAAGCGGGCGCTCTCCATCCTTTCCCTTAGTCACTGCTGCTTCTCTGTCTAGCAGCTGTGTGCGTTTTCTTAAAATGGATCCTGGCTGGGAAGAAAAGAAAACAATCAATTAGGCAGAGATTCATTTCAGTAAAAGAGGTTGGGTAGCAAAACTAATATAATCAACTGCTCTCAGAAAAAGCCTCAGAAAATGTTTTCCAGTATTGTTCTGGAGGGACAATGAGATCTAAGATCTGAAGTTCAAGTGGAGGAAAGGGCTGCTGAATGATCTAGACAGCTCTGATAGCGTGAGAGCAATGGAAACCTTCTGATTTCTCCCATCAAGTCACCAGGATGTGATATCGGCACTAGATTTTGTTCATTTATTCTTAGTGCACAGCACATATCAAATAATTCAGTCGCATCCTTCAGTAATCATTTTGGTTCTGCTTGTCTTCTTGCAGCGTGTACTGAATTTGATGGGAAACCCGGTTATCAGACACATTCCTAATTATAGAAAGACAGTCACTGTACGACTAAAGCACTTAACATACCTGGATGATAGACCAGTGTTTCCAAAGGACAGGTAAGAAGAGAAAAGCCTTCTGATCACATTTTAATATTTAATAGTTGACCATGCTTAATATTAAACTTTTTAAATTTCTGATTCTTGAGCAATTTCACATATCAAAAACGTTCTTTGGAAATAGGCTTGATGGCGACCTAATTGACTATAATGGGAATTTAAGCACTTATTCATAGATTTTTATATTCCTTTGATAAGTATCTTTGTATTGGTGGTTTACCTCTTTGCTGATGAGTTCCTTGGAATGGAATTTTGGGAGTAGCATCACTGCATTGAAGAATGCGGTTTCAGACTTTGTAAAAACTCTTACAAATATTTTCTAGTTGTTTTCTAGAGAGTTTGTACCAGTTTACAACCTCACAGAACATAACCATGAAAAGAAATCTTTGCCAAGTTAGTTAATGGGTGAAGATAGTACCCTGTTGTTTTAAATTGCCATTTTTGGATAACTGATGAAGTTGGGCATTTTTTTTCATTGTTACTGGACACTTATATTTCCTTCTTTATGAATATTCTGTCCATGACTTTTTCCAAGTTTCTTTCTGAAGTGATTTTCTTACCGATTTGTAAGAGCTTCTTTAATATTAGGAACATTGCACCCTGGACTGCCATGTTTATCGTCACTGCTTTTATCTGTGTTTTTAACTTACTTTTAAATTTAGATCAATTTAGTAATTCTAATTAGAATAAAATATCAGCCATATAGGCTACTTGATGAGAAGTACAATCTGAATTTTGCATTATATAACATTTAAGATCAATGTAGCTTGTAATATGTTTTTAAACTCACAAATTTAAATCAAACTAATAAATATTTCCAATAGAGCTTCCGCTTTAGCCAGGTAAGAAAATAAGACCTGCTTCTGGGAGGTTCAACAGAAATTGACCCAGCTCCCTGGGCCCCAGGTCTGGGGGTGGTGAGGACGGGGAGAGCAGCCAGTGTGCAGGGGCCTGACTCCCAAGCCAGCTCTGCAGCCACGTGCTACATTATGACCTTGGGGGAGCTCCCTAACCTCCCTGGGCGCACGTTCCACATCTGCAGAGTGGGGATGAGAATATTGTTGCCACAGGGTCCTTGTGAGTGCCTATGAGCAATATGCAGGACTCTGAGCAGGTACTGGGCTCCTAGGAGTGAACCAGTGGGAGCAGCTGCCACTGAAGAGGCTACCCCCACCCCGGGGGCCATGCTGAGGAAAGTAACGTGGATGTGAGCAATAGGAGCCACCGTCCTTTACAGCATAGCCCAAGACTCCAGCTCAGGAGTCAGATTAACCTGGCTTGAATCTTTTTTTAGAGACAGGATTGTACTCTGTCACCTGGGCAGGAGTGCAGTGGCGCCATCACTGCAGCCTCAAACTCCTGGGTTCACACAAGCCTCCCAAGTAACTGAGATTACAAGTGTGCATCACCAAACCCAGTTAATTTTTAAGTTTTTTGTAGAGATGGGGGTCTCACTATGTTGCCAAGGCTGGTCTCAAATTTCTGGCCTCAGGTGATCCTCCTGCCTTGGCCTCCCAAAGCTCTGAGGCTCCCAAAGCCTCACAGGCATGAGCCGCCATACCCCTGGCGTTGAATCTTAATCCAACCACTGACTAATTGTTTGACACTGGGTACTTGCTGTCATCTAGGATGCAGCAGGCATCTGCTTACCTGTCATTAACGCACTCTCCATAACGCATGTAAATAGTGCCTTCTCCACTTGATGTCTCTTCAGCCTGATTTAATTTCCTCTCAGGACACATCAGCCTCTAACATACGCTCATTTCTTTGTTTAGGATCTGTCTTCCCCAACTAAAAGGGCTCCTCTAACAGAGATGAGCTCTTACACTCACTGCTGGGTCCCCAGCCTCTAGAACGGTGCCTGGCACATAGCAGGCAACAGATAGGCCTTTGCTGGCTGTCTGCTCTGAGATCAAAGGGTCTGAGGTTTTCTCACGGAGTGGTAAATGGACTGGAACATGGTTTATTTTCCTTAGCATTTTCTGTCTCAGTGACTCGTGGTCTTTCTCTGCTATAGTATACTTTGCAACACCCTGTCCGACTATTTCCAAACACCTGTACCTTTGATTTTACAGCAGGGATCTGCTGCTTCTCTCTGAAGGTAAGCCTCCTGTTTTTAAACCACCAGACTTTATTTTTCAAATAACAACTTTGTTGAGGTATTATTCACATACCATACAGTTTATGTATTTAAAGTGTACAATGTGGCTGGACGCAGTTGCTCACGGCTGTAATCCCAGCACTTTGGGAGGCTGAGGTGGGTAGATCACTTGAGGTCAGGAGACTCCCTCTCAAAAAAAAAAATAAAATAAATAAAATAAAAATAAAAATAAAAAACAAAGTGTACAATGCAATGGCTTTGAGTATATTCACAGAGTTATGCAACCATCACCACAATCAATTTTAGAACATTCTCATCACCCTAAAATGGAAACACTGGGCCAGGCATGGTGGCTCACGCCTATAATCCCAGCGCTTTGGGAGACCGAGGCAGGCGGATCATGAGGTCAGCAGATCGAGACCATCCTGGCTAACATGGTGAAACCCTGTCTCTACTAAAAAATAGAAAAAATTAGCCGGACATGGTGGTGGGTGCCTGTAGTCCCACCTAGTCAGGAGGCTGAGGCAGGAGAATGGCATGAACCTGGGAGGTGGAGCTTGCAGCGAGCCGAGATCACACCACTGCACTCCAGCCTGCGCAACAGAGCGAGACTCCATCTCAAAAAAAAAAAAAAAAAAAAAGAAAAGAAAAGGAAACACTGGCTGGGCATGGTGGCTCACACCTGTAATCCCAGCACTTTGGGAGGCCAGAGTGGGCAAATCATGAGGTCAAGAGACCAAGACCAGCCTGGCCAACATGGTGAAACCCTATCTCTACTAAAAGTACAAAAATTAACTGGGCGTGGTGGTAGGCACCTGTAGTCCCACCTACTCGGGAGGCTGAGGCAAGAGAATCGCTTGAATCCAGGAGGTGGAGGTTGCAGTGAGCCAAGATTGAGCCACCGCACTCCAACCTGGGTAACAGTGCGAGACTGTCCCAAAAAACAAACAAAAAAACAAAAAAACACCATCCCCATTAGCAGCCCACCCCCTATTTCTCGCTCCCTGAAGGCCCTGGCAGCTACTTCTCTCCTTTTCCTCTCTGTTGATTTGCCTGTTCTGGACATTTCATATAAATGGAGTCACCCACCATGCGGCCTTTTTTTTCTTTCACTCAACGTCGTGTTGTCAGGGTTCATCTGCGATGTGGCGTGCTCCATCCAGTACTTCACTCCTTTTTATTGACACATGATACTGCATTTTCATACACTACATTGTATTTGTCCATCAGCTTTTGGAAATTAGGGTTCTTTTCTCTTTTTGGCTATTGTCAATAATGAAGTTTTTGTGTGGACAGCTGTTGTCTTCTTCTGGGTACGTATCTAGGAGTGGAATTTCTGGGTCATACAGGGACTTTATGTTTAATTTTTGAGGAGACACCACATTGTTTTCCAAAGCAGCCGCACCATTTTACATCCCCATCAGCAGTGTAGGAGGGTTCCAGTTTTCCCGTATCCTCACCAATACTTCTGATTGCCTGTCTTTTTCTCTCTTTTTGTTTTTTTAAGATGGAGTCTCACCCTGTCACCCAGGCTGGAGTGCAGCAGTGAGATCTCAGCTCACTGCAACCTCCGCCTCCCAGGTTCAAGCGATTCTCCTGCTCAGCCTCCCTAGCAGCTGGGATTAGAGGCATCAGCCACCATGCCCAGCTAATTTTTCTATTTTTATTAGAGACAGGGTTTCACCATGTTGGTCAGGATGGTCTCAATCTCTTGACCTCGTGATCCACCTGCCTCGGCCTCCCAAAGTGCTGGGATTAAAGGGGTGAGCCACCGCACCCGGCCCTGTCTTTTTATTTCTAGTCCCTGGTGTTATTTGTTTTTTTTTTTTTTTTTTTTTTTTTTTTTTTTTTTTTTTTTTTTCTGTCCCCTGGATGGTATGAAGTGGTGTGTCACTGTGGTTTCCATTTGCTTTTCCCTGGTAGATAATGATGTCGAGCATCTTTCATGTACTTATCGGCAGTTTTTATGTCTTCTTTGGAGAAATGCCTGTTCAGTTTCTTTGCTGATTTTTAAAAAATTAATAGACTTCTAACAGACTTTTTTTTTTTTTTTTTTTTTTGGGACAGCGTTTTGCTCTGTTGCCCAGGCTGGAGTGCAGTGCTACAATCATGATTCCCTGCAGCCTCCACCTCCTGGGCTCAAGTAACCCTCTCACCTCTCAGCCTCCTGAGTAGCTGGGACTGCAGGTGTGCACCACCACGCCTGGCTAGTTTTTGTGCTTTTTGTAGAGATGGGGTCTCGCCATGTTGCCCAGCCTGGTCCGGAACTCCTGGGCTCAAGTCATCTGCCCACCTTGGCCTCCTAAAGTGCTGAGATTATAGGCATGAGTCACTGCACCTGGCCTAGACTTTATTTTCAGAGCAGTTTTAGATTTACAGAAAAATTGAGCAGAAAGTAAAGAGAGTTCCCATATACCACCCACCCTCACAGTTTCTCCTATTTGTAACGTGTTACATTCGCGTGGGACATTTGTGACAAGCGATCAACCAATGCTGGTACCTTATTATTGACTGAAGTCCATCATTTCTTTAGGGCTCATGCTTGGTGTTGCACATTGTATGGATTTGGACAAAGGTATCATGTCATGTATCCCCCATCACAGTATCTCACAGAATAGTTTTACTGCCCTAAAACCCTCTGTGCTCTGCTTATTCATCCCTCCCACCTCCTCAGCCCCAACTCCTGGCAACACTGATCTTTTTGCCGTCTCCGTGATTTTGCCTTATCTAGAAAGTCACATAGCTGGAATCATACAGCATATAGCCTTTATGGACTGGCTTCTTTCACTTAGCAATGAAGTTAGGCTTCTTCCATGAATTCGTGTGGCTTGACAGCTCATCTCTTTTCACTGCTGAGTGATATTCCTCCATCTGGGTGTGCCAGAGTTTGTTTATCCATTCACCTACTAAAGGATATGTTGGTCGCTTCTAATTTCTGCCAATTAGAATAAAACTGCTGTAAACATCCATGTGCAGGTTTGCGTGTGGACATAAGTCTTCAATTCATTTGGGCAAATAATTAGAAGCACAATTGCTGGATCATATGGTGAGAGTATTTTTAGTCCTGTAAGAATCCGCCACACCATTTTCCAAAGTGGCTGTACCATTTTGCATTCCCCCTAGGAACAAGTGAGAGTTCCCAGCACTCCACATCCTCATTAGCACAGCATTGCCGGTGTTTTGGATTTTAGCCATCTTATAGCCACATCATGTTATCTTATTGTTCTAATTTGCATTTCCCCAGGACACGTGATGTGGAGCATCTTTTCACAGGCTTATTTGCCATCTGTGTATCTTTTTTGGTGAGGTATCTTGATCGTTTGCCCGGTTTTTTATTGGGTTGTTTCCTTATCTTTGAATTTTAAAAGTTATTTGTATGTTTTGGATCCAAGCCTTTTTTTTTTTTTTTTTTTTGCAAATATTTTCTCCCAGTCTGTAACCTGTCTTCTCATTTTTTAAAACTTTGCTTATTTTTTTTGGGGGGAGGGTAGAATCTTACTCTGTCACTCAGGCTGGAGTGCAGTGGTGTGATCTCAGCTCACTGTAACCTCTGCCTCGTGGGTTCAAGCGATTCTCCTCCTTCAGCCTCCCGAGTAGCTGGGACTACAGGTGCGTGCCACGACGCCCAGCTAATTTTCGGATTTTTAGTAGAGACGGGGTTTCTCCATGTTGGCCAGGCTGGTCTTGAACTCCTGACTTCAGGTGATCCACCCACCTCCTCTTCCCAAAGTGCTGGGATTACAGGTGTGAGCTACCATGCACAGCCTAAACTTTGGTCATTTTGAAATTGTGTCATCTTTCTATTAATGAGTTGTGAGGCTTATTTATATTTTCCAGGTACAAGACCCTTATCAAATATATGATTTGCAAATATCTTCTCACATTCTTTGAGTTGTCTTTTTACTTTTTTTCGGTAGACACAGGGTCTCGCTATGTTGCCCAGGCTGATCTCAAACTCCTGGGCTCAAGTGATCATCCCACTTTGGCCTCCAAAGTGCTAGGATTACAGGCGTGAGCCACTGTGTCCTGCTGGCTTTTTTTTTTTTTTAAATAATACTTTATTTATGGTATTCTTTGCATGACAAACATTTTTAATTTTGATGGAATCCGATTTCTCTATTTTTTCTCTTGTCACTTGTGCTTTTGGTGTCATATCTAAGAAGGCTGTGCAGACTGTTCCACCTTAAATAATAAAATTCACACGTGTAACTTTCATCCTTGCAGTCACATGTCTGATGCTCACTTTGCTTTGATTTTGAAGAAAATGAGCAAGTTGATCAGAGAGTATATGTTTGGAGTTCACCTCCCCTATTTATGTTTCTTTGTTTTTTTAAACAGAGCTTGTGCGGAGGCCTGGGCTAGGGGAGGGTACGCAGCTGAAAAGGAGGAGAGACAGCAGTGGGAGAGCAGGGAGCGGAAGAAGATCACAGACAGCATTGAAGCCTTGGCCATGATCAAGCGGCGGGCGGAGGAGAGGAAAAGACAGAGAGAGAGTCAAGAGAGAGGTATGCGCTGGGTCGAAGACAATAGCCCCAGAGTTCCTTTGAGATTAGGCGAGTCTAAGCTGTCAAACTTACTCTTTAATCTTGGGGATTTTTTTTTTTTTTTTTAAGACAGAGTCTTGCTCTGTCGCCCAGGTTGGAGTGCAGCAGCGTAATCTTGACTCACTGCAACTTCTGTCTCCCGGGTTCAAGCAATTCTTGTGCCTCAGCCTCCCCAGAGCTGGTATTACAGGCACGTACCACCATGCCTGGCTAATTTTTGTATTTTCAGTAGAGAAGGGATTTCGCCATGTTGTCCAGGCTTGTCTCGAACTCTTGACTTCAAGTCATCTGCCAACCTTGGCTTACCAAAATGCTGGGATTACAAGCATGAGCCACTGTGCCCAGCCTTGGATTTTCTTTTTTCTTTCTTTCTTTTTTTTTCTTTTGGTGGGGACAAGATCTCACTCAGTTGCCCAGGCTAGAGTGCAGTGGCACAATCTTGGCTCACTGCAACCTCCACCTCAAGTGATCCTCTCACCTCAGCTTCCTAAGTGGCTGGGACTACAGGTGTGCACCACCATGCTTAGCTAATTAAATTTTTTTTTTCCATAGAGGTGGGGTCTCACTATGTTGCCCAGGCTGGTCTCAAACTCCTGGGCTCAAGTGCTCCACCCACCTTGGCCTCCCAAAGTGCTGGGATTATAGGTGTGAGCTGCTGCACCTGGCCAGGGATTTTTTTTTAAACCATTTCCTCAACCTGCAGATCCATCTGCAGTTGGCCTCACCCACCTGCCAGCACCAGTGAGAACCTGGAACGGTGATGAGCTGTTTCCAACCACTTTTACTGATTGAAACACAGATTTTCAAAATAAATGACCTATTACTTTTCTGCGGCTGCTGAAAGTAGGAAAACTCAAATAGGTTGTTTTCTTCTACCACACTCTCAACACCCGGCAGACTTGTGCTCACCAAATGTGCAGGGTGTCCCCACACCCACCGGTTCTCCTCCTGACACCCCAGCACCCGGGTGTGTCCCATACCATATTCCATGCCTTCCCATCCCTGGATACTAACACCCCATAGGTAGGATGGACCAATGGTCTCCTGTGAGCCTTATCTACCTCCCCGCCCCACTTCCTCTGATGCAACTGCGAGTCCCAGGGTGTCGCCTGTACTTCTAACAGAATGGCCATAAAATTAGGGTTCCCATGACACTCCCTTTGGGTTTGATACTTTGCTCTGATGGCTCACAGAACTCCAGAGAACACTTATATTTTCTGGGTTATTATATTAATAAAGGATACGATAAGGGATGCAGATGAACAGTGGGATGAAGCGGAGCTTAGGGAAGGGCCTGTGTGAAGGGGCGGAGCTTCATGCCCTCTCTGCCACACCCCACTCCAGATACCTCCAGTGTTCAGCAACTCGGAAGCTCTCTGAACCCCACAGTTCAGGGGGTTTTCCGGAAGCTTCAACACGTGGGCATGATGGATGATTAACTCCATTTCCAGCCCCTCCGCCCTCTCTGAAGGACAAGGGTGGGGCTGAAAGCTCCAAGCCTCTCATCACGACTTGGTCTCTCTGGTCTGGAAGCCACCCCGCCCCCAAGGGCCCCTTCAGACAAAAGATCTCCCTGTCACCCTGGACGAAGGTCTTAGGAGCTCTGTGCCAGGACCTGGGCTCGAAGATAAAATATTAGAACAAAACAGCCTTCTAGCACCCCTATCTACCGGGGTTTTAGGAGCTCTGTTTCAGAGATAAATGTATCTTGTAATTTCATAGCAGCCACAACAAATTACCACAAAATTAGTGGCTTAAAAAACACAAATTTGTTACCTTATTGCAGTTCTGTGGGTCAGAAGCCCAAAATGGGTTTCACTAAGCTAAAATTGAGGTGTCTCAGGGTTGTGCTCCTTCTGGGGGCCCCAGGGGAGAACCCGCTTCCTTACCTTTCCCACCTCCTAGAGGCCGCCTGCGTTCCCTGGCTCGTGGCCCCTTCCTCCAACTTCCAGGCCAGCAGTGTGGCATCTTCCAGCCTCGTTCTGGCTCTGACACGCCTGCCTCCCTATTCTGAGGGCCCTTGTGATTCTTTTGAGTCTGCCTGGATAACCCAGGACAATTTCCTGATCTCAGGGTTCTAGATCCTAATCACATCTGCACAGTCCCTTTGTCCGTGTAAGGTAACATATTCATAGTCTAAGATTAAGGTGTGAACATCTTTGGCTAATATTTTTGTATTCCTTTTTTTTTTGTAGAGACAGGGCCTTGCTGTGTTGGCCAAACTGGTCTCAAACTCCTGGCCTCAAGCAATCCTCCCGCCTCAGCCTCCCAAAGTGCTGGGATTATAGACGTGAGCCACTGCACCTGGCCACATACACATTTTTATGTAAAAATGGCATAATTATGTTGCTTCCTGTCTAGTCTTTTGAATTAGCATACTATAACTATTTTCCATACAATAGATATTTTCTTACTACATATATTTTGTCTTTTCCCAACTTTTTGTTTTGAAATGTTAAAAATTTTCAGAAAAGCTGAAAGAATAGTAAAACATAGTTGTATGTCTGCATTTATTAATAGATTCTGTGGTTTTTCATAATTTGCTACACATATTTGCCCCCCCCCCACACACACACACTTTGCTTTTCCCCTGAACCATTTGAAGATAAAGGCAAACGTCATAGCCTTTAAATCCCCAGTGCTTCAGCATGCATCTCCTAAGAACTTCTTGTGTTCTGTTTTCTTGATGGCTGTGACTTGTTCCATTAAAGGGCTGTGCTCGGCAGCGCCTTCACGGGCATTTGGCTCCCGTCATTATCCACTGTAAACAACACTAATGAACATCCCTCAAGGATACTTCTTTTTTTTTTTTTTTTTTTTTTGAGACAGAGTCTCACTCTGTCACCTAGACTGGAATGCAGTGACTCACTGCAACCTCTGTCTCCTGGGTTCAAGCGCTTCTCCTGCCTTGGTCTCTCTAGTAGCTGGGATTATAGGCATGTGCCACCCCACCCAGTTATTATTATTATTATTGTTATTATTTTAGTAGAGACGAAGTTTCACCATGTTTGCCAGGCTGGTCTTGAACTCCTGATGTCAAATGATCTGACTGCCTGGGCCTCCCAAAGTGCTGGGATTACAAGCATGAGCTACCATGCCCAGCCCCTTGAAGAAACTTTTTAAACTTTGTTCCTTATTTATTATTATTTTTTTGGACACCGAGTCTTGCTCTGTCTTCCAGGCTGAAGTGCAGTGACACGATCTTGGCTCACTGCAGCCTCCACCTCCCAGGTTCAAGCAATTCTCCTGCCCCAGCCTCTTGAGTAGCTGGGACTATAGGCGCCTGCCACCACGTCTGGTTAATTTTTTGTATTTTTAGTGGAGAGGGGGTTTCGTCATGTTGGCCAGCCTGGTTTTGAACTCCTGGCCTCAAGTGATCCACCCTCCTTGGCCTCCCAAAGTGCTGGGATTACAGGTGCGAGTCACTGCACCCAGCCCCTCGAGGACACGTTTTTAAACTGTGTTCCTGACCTCTTTCCTGGTCTCAGAAGTTTGCTGTGAGCCCTTGAAGTATGCATGAACACCCTTGTCCTCCTGGGACACTCCCACATTCACCTTTGCATTTTCCGCCAGTAGGGGAGACGACATCTTCAGACGATGGCGAGAACGTGCCTGCCAGTGGGGAAGGCAAGGAGGAGCCTCCCGGGGACAGAGAAACAAGGCAGAAGATGGAGCTATTTGTTAAGGAAAGCTTTGAGGCCAAGGATGAGCTCTGCCCAGAAAAGCCAAGTGGAGGAGAGGAGCTGCCTGTGGAGGTTAAAAGAGAGGATGGAGATCGAGAGCCAGAGGGAACCCTCCCAGCTGAGACCCCACTACTGTCGCCACCTGTGGAGGTTAAAGGAGAGGACAGAGATCAAGAGCCAGAGGGGACCCTCCCAGTTGAGGCCCCACTACTGTCGCCGCCTGTGGAGGTTAAAGGAGAGGACCGAGATCAAGAGCCAGAGGGGACCCTCCCAGTTGAGGCCCCACCGCCGCTGCCCCTCGGAGCTGCCGGGGAAGGTAACGTGAGCAGAGAAACACACACAGACATACACGCCCCTCAGGGAGCCCCAGCCTTTGACGCAGGCCTCTGTGGGACCTGAGGCCTGAGTTTCACTTCTTATGTATTGCTGTTTCTAGAAGATAATGTACGCAAGTTGTCTTGTTATCTAGAACAGTGCTGCTCAACAGAAATGGAATAGGAGGCTGGGCGCGGTGGCTCACACCTGTAATCCCAGCACTTTGGGAGGCCAAGGTGGGCGGATCATGAGGTCAGGGGATCGAGATCATCCTGTAACATGGTGAAACCCCGTCTCTACTAAAAACACAAAAAAGCTAGCTGGGCGTGGTGGCGGGCGCCTGTAGTCCCAGCTACTCAGGAGGCTGAGGCAGGAGAATGGCACGAACCCGGGAGGCGGAGCTTGCAGTGAGCTGAGACCGCACCACTGCACTCCAGCCTGGGCAACAAAGTGAGACTCTGTCTCAAAAAAAAGAAAAAGAAAAAGAAAAAAAGAAATGGAACAGGAGCCACTACTAGATTCTCTAGTAGCCCTATTTTAAAAAGTAAAAGGAACTTTGGGAGGCCAAGGCAGGAGGGTTGATTGAGGCCAGGAGTTTCAGACCAGCCTTAGAAACATAGTGAGACCTCATCCCTACCAAAACTACAAAAATTAGCTGGGCATGGTGGTGTGCCCCTGTAGTCCCAGCTGCTTGAAAGGCTGAGGCAAGAGGATTGCTTGAGCCCCGGAGGTTGAGGCTGCAGTGAGCCAAGATTGCACCACTGCACTCCATCCTGGGTGACAGAGTGAGACCCTCTCTCAAAAAATAAATAAATAAATAATTTAAAAATTAAAAAGAAACAGTAAAAGTATTAATGATATATTTGATTTAACCCAATATATAAAAAATACAATCATGTTAACATGGAATTAATATAAAAATTATCAATGAGATATTTTACTTATTTTTAAAAAATTAAGTCATCAAAATTCACTATGTATTTGACATGGCCGAATGGTAACTTTTTAATGGTGAAAAGTGGGCCATTCATCTCTGACATAAATGAAGCCCAGAGAGCAATGGCGGGATCAGAGTACAGGACCCAAGGATACAGCCTGGGGGAAGAGTAGGGGCAGGCCCTGCGAGGTGGCTCACTCATGTAATCCCAGCACTGTGGGAGGCCGAGGCGGGCAGATTGCTTGAGGCCAGGAGTTCAAGACCAGCCTGGCCAACATAGTGAGAAATCCCCCTCCCTGCAACCCCTGAGCATCTACAAAAAAACACAATAAATTAGCCGGGCATGACGATGACCACTTGTAGGCTGAGGTGGGAGGGGTAGGGGACAGGAGGTTGAGGCTGCAGTGAGCTGAGATCACACCACTGTACTCCAGCCAGGGTGACAGAGTGAGACCCTGTCTCAAAAAAATAAAAATAAGTAAATAAAAAGGAAAAGTAGGGGCCTGGACGAGGACGGGGCCCATCACGATTCCACATTCCTCAGGCGATCTTGCAGTTATGAAATTGCACAAGCCCTGACCCTTGTGCAGCAGGAGGGGCGTGTGCCTGGCTGAGGGACAGGCCGGCGGTGGGCTGTGAAGCCTGCCCCTCCGTCTCTGAGCGAGTCGCCCCTGCTGGCATCACTTGTCGCCCCACAGCGGCTGCCGTTTCCAAGATTCCTGTGGCTGCTGCTTTGACTCCTGGATGGTGCTCTTCATCTCATGGGATTCGCCTCCAGGTTATAGAAAGGGGTAGCTGTTCCATTCTTTTCCCAGCAGACGGAAGCCTGCCATGAGCTGCGGCCTCTGTCATGGAGGCTGGCCTTTGGGCCCTGAAGAGGGTTTTTGTCTTTTTTTTTTTTTCCAGAGGAGTCTCACTCTGTCACCCAGGCTGGAGTGCAATGGTATGATATTGGCTCATTGCAACTTCCACCTCCTGGGTTCAAGTGATTCTCCTGCCTCAGCCTCCCGAGTAGCTGGGACTACAGGCGCCCGCCACCACACTCGGCTAATTTTTGCATTTTTAATAGAGACAGGGTTTTTGCTATGTTGGCCAGACTGGACTTGAACTTCTGACCTTGGGATCCACCCACCTTGGCCTCCCAAAGTGCTGGGATTACAGGCATGAGCCACCGCGCCCAGACCCTGGGAGCCCTTCTTCACCGTGGGCTTGTCCATCTGCCTGCTGTGTGTTAAACTAACTCCAAGACTTGTTGTTGCTCTTTAGAGTGGACTCCCCAGGCTGTGGCCGCTGAGGGTGGATTCGTTACAGGACCTGATGGGACGAGAATGGAAGATTTAGAAACTGTTAGACTGGAGACAAAGGAGACATTCTGCATCGATGTACGTGAAGTATTTAATCTTGGAGATAAGTATCAGTTTTACTGTTAGTAAAATAGGTGATCAGATGCAAACTCTGGAGATCCTCGATACCCCAAGTGTGGTCCTTGGGCCGGCAGGCCTGGCATTGCTGGGGCGCTGGTTAGAAATGCAGACTCCCAGGCCTCACCCCAGGCCCACTGATCAGAATCCAACTTTAATGCACTGCCCTAGGTGATTCGTGCACGTGCATGCTCAAGTTTGGGGAGCCTGGGCCCAAATCACCACCCTTGAGCCATGTCTACCACAATCGATTCGTTTTTGCTAAAGCAGCTACCTTGCTAAGCAGTTCTGACTAGTTGCCTTATCCAAATTGGTGGTGAGAGTTACATTGTATCATCAGAGTTACATTGTATCATTATACATTGTATCTTTTTCCTCCTCCTTGGACACCACCCGGCAGGTAGCTCAGGCTCTCACTGGCCTTCTGACTCATGGAAGTGTGACGGTTCAGTGTCCCATTCCCTTGAGTGAATGTTTGATCGCAGCCTTGCCTGTCACTCTTCCCTGAAGCTCTTCCCATTTTGATGACAGTCCCAAATGCTTAGGCCCACAAGAACGGTACCATGGGAATTCACACATTGTGTCACAACCCCTCAAGAACTGTCCTTTGATGGGGCAGGAATAGGAGAGGCATTTCTGGGCACCTCTGACCTCATACCTTGGAGAGGTGGCCCCCTCCCCACTTCCTTGTTAAACTTCTCCTAAACTGGTGTTTCTAATGTCCAAACTTCAGGACTTCACATGGCCCAGTAAGAGTTAAAGTGATCACAGTCAGAATTCATAGTGGGTTTCTAGTTTTCTGGAGCTATGTAAAAAAAGAAACAAAGGCCAGGTGTGGTGGCTCACACCTGTAATCCCAGCACTTTGGGAGGCCGAGGTGGGTGGATCACATGAAGTCAGGAGTCAGCCTGGCCAACATGGTGAAACCCCATCTCTACTAAAAATACAAAAAAAAAAAAAAAAGAAAAAAGAAAAAAAATTAGCTGGGCATGGTGGCAGGTGCCTGTAATCCCAGCTACTTTGGAGGCTGAGGCAGGAGAACTGCTTGAACCCAGGAGGCGGAGGTTGCAGTGATCCAAGATCTCACCACTGCACTCCAGCCTGGGCAACAGAGTGAGACTCTATCTCAAAAAAAAAAAAAAAAAAAGAAAAGAAAAAGAAAGAAAGAAACATAATTGGGCAATTTATCTCTCACATTTGAGAACTGACCATATAGATAACTACAACACTAATAGCTAATATTAGTTGGTTTCTTATTATATGCGTGACACCATTCTAAATACAACTTGTATTGATTGATGTAACCCTTCCTACAACTCTAAGTGGTACATACTATTATCATCCCAATTTCCCAGATGAGGAAAATGAGAAACAGAGAGGTTAGGCAACTTGCCCAAAGCCACACAGCTAGAAAATGGTGGTGGGGGAGTAACAACCCAGGCAGCGTGGCTCCAGTTCATGCATACAACCACGCACTGGTTTTTATGGACAAAGACACCAAATACCCACAATACAAAAAAGTCCTACCAGTTTTGGGGAGATACAAAATATATTACTTTTATACCACATAGAGTTTTTGGACTAGTTTGTACAGAGGTGCATTTGGTTTGGGTCCCATTATTTCCCCTAAGATGAACGGACTGTATCTCTTAATAAAGAAACAGAAAAAAGATGTGGAAATTCTTTAAATATGTCACACCTTGCAAGTTCCCTTTCTTTTATTACATCCAGACACCTGAAGTGGCAACGCTTGCTTTGTGTGTGCCTAGAGTTTCTTTGGGTGGGGAACAGGCAGAGGAGTCACCCGAGTGATTTGAGTAACTTTAACTAAGGCTGGGTTGACTGTGTGTTTGCCTTTATCGTGCCTATCCGAACGTTGACAGCGCATGTGCCTCCCTGCTGATGTGCGGCTCACTTGCTCTTTCAGGACCTACCTGACTTGGAAGATGACGATGAAACAGGCAAATCTCTGGAAGACCAGGTTAAGGTCATTAGTCCATTTTCCCATAGTCAGCTTAATTCCACCTTCATTCTTGTCGTTTACAGTCTCTCTCCAAAACTTGAAAGTAAAATGTTCCCTGTGCATAAAGCATTGAATCCCCCATATTCTCTTTTTTTCTTTTTCTTTTCTTTTTTTTTTTTTTTTGAGACGGAGTCTTGCTCTGTCACCCAGGCTGGAGTGCAGTGGCCGGATCTCAGCTCACTGCAAGCTCCGCCTCCCGGGTTCACGCCATTCTCCTGCCTCAGCCTCCAGAGTAGCTGGGACTACAGGCATCCGCCACCACGCCCGGCTAGTTTTTTGTATTTTTTTTTCAGTAGAGACGGGGTTTCACCGTGTTAGCCAGGATGGTCTCCATCTCCTGACCTCATGATCCGCCCGTCTCGGCCTCCCAAAGTGCTGGGATTACAGGCTTGAGCCACCGCGCCTGGCTTTTTTTTTTTTTTTTTTTTTTCAGGCAGAGTCTGGCTCTGTCGCCCAGGCTGGAGTGCAATAGCCTGTTCCTGGCTCACTGCAACCTCCACCTCCTGGGTTCAAGCGATTCTCCTGCCTCAGCCTCCCATGTAGCTGGGATGACAGGCATGTGCCACCACGCCCAGCTAAGTTTTGTAGTTTTAGTAGAGATGGGATTTCACCATGTTGGCCAGGCTGGTCTCGAACTCCTGACCTCAAGTGATCCATCTGCCTCAGCCTCCCAAAGTGCTGGGGTTACAGGTGTGAGCCACCGCACCCAACCCACATCCCCCATATTTTCACCTTGCTGAAGGAAATGCCATTTGTTCTTGTTCAATTCTTTAAGATTTTATGATTAACCCCTTGAGAATCTATTGCTGGTTTGTAACAGCTGAGCATGGTGCAGAGTTACCTGAAAGCACTTTCTGTGGTTAAGATGTATTTCTGTGTCCATCCTATGAAGGTCTGTCTGAATATAGCTACACGTAGAGGGAAAGAAATGAAAACAGGAGAGAGGAAAGAAAGGGGTGAGTCTGTGAGGCACGATGGGGAATTCTCTCAGAGTGGCGTGACCCTCTGCCCAGAGGCCATGACTGGGATTACCAGGAGCCCATATGTGCCAGACCCGTGCCCTGAGGGAGAAGGCGGCATCAGCCAACATCTCTGTGCGCGAGCTCGGTGGCAAAGAAAACAGACACAGTTATTGTGGGGGGGCTGCTGTCCAAGGAGCTAATTCTAGAGAGTCTGAGGGAAGCTGGGTTCAGGGGTGTGCCCTCCCGGGTAGCAGGAGGGTGTGGAATAGCCAGTGGCTGGGGGAGCAGAGGCCAGAGAGAAGGGCATGGACATGAGCTGTGCCCAGGGAGTGGCCACCCCACCCCCAGGCCTAACTTTCAGAGTCCTGTGTTCCCTTGGGCCTTTCTTGGATGTGGCAACAGAACAGTTTGTGACATTGGGTGAAAACGCAGAACTGGCGTGGTGCTTTGTAGAGTGACTCTGCTGTGAAAACAGAAACTTTCAAACACATCTTTTCTTCTGTGAATAGAATATGTGCTTTCCGAAGATTGAGGTCATCTCGAACTCGAGTGATGACAGTGACCCTGAACTGGACTACACGTCACTCCCTGTGCTGGAAAACCTGCCCGCAGACACTCTGTCAAATATATTTGCAGTCTCTAAAGACACCTCAAAGGCGGCTCGGGCGCCCTTCACAGGCATCTTTATAAAAGAAGCTAAGAGGGACTTGGAAATCCCAAAACAAGACACCGAGTCCCCACGACCCCTGATCCAGGAGCTCAGCGATGAGGACCCCTCTGGCCAGCCACCGATGTCCCCCACCTGCCAAAGAGACGCCGCACCACTCACTTCCAGTGGAGACGGGGACAGCGACTTCCTTGCAGCCTCTTCTTCAGGTAAGAGCATGGGGCCAAGAGCACAGTGGAGATGGTGTTGGCTCCCCGGCCTGGGATGGGTGGGGCAGGGCAGTCACTCAGCCTTACCCCAAGCTTTCATGTTCCTGGAGGGGTCACCTAGGACAGACCACACAGATCCTCTGAAGGTCCCATTCCTGAGTTCACGGCTCTGAAGCTGCCACTTGCTGGTAGCCAGCCTGGGCCAGAAAGCTGCCGAGCCAGCCTGTTCTTGGGCAGCCAAGTCTGACTGTGTGTGAGGGTCACAAGGCACCTGTGGTCATGCAGATCTCCTGGGGCGGGGGCCTAATGACCCTGCATTTCCACCCCCTCTTCACCATCCCTGGCCTCAGCCTTTCTAGACCAAGGCTTTTGGAGGGGACCACCGACACCACTGCTGGGGAGTGTGGGGCAAGCGAGGTGACAGCCGCAGAGGGCGTGGCTGCTCCACAGTGACCCAGGCCTGGGTGAATCACAGGCCAGTCCTACTGGCCTTCAAGGTGGGGAAGGCAAAGGGGCACCAGGCAGGGAAGGCGGCCAGAGGCCTGGCTGCAGAAGACCCAGAAAAACATGCTGAATGTACTGAGGCCTCCCCTCATGCTGCAGGCTGGCACATGCGCCTGGCAGATGTGGTTTGGGGGAACAGCTGGTTAGTGCTGAGGACAAGCAAGCTGGGCTGTTTTTCATTCAGCACCTGCCTTCAGGTGCACCCCCAAATCAAGGGTTGTGTGGTGCCTGGACCATTCTACTCTCACCCAACACGCATCAGTGGCCGGGCTTTTTTCTGAAGACAGCTGCCTGGCTGACTCCAGACTTGCAGGCAAGAAGCAGGGAGGGCTTCAGTGCATTTCCCGGGAACACTGAGTGGCCTTCTCTTTCACTCTAGGAACCAGCACAGAAAAGAGAAGTGCAGTCTGAGCTGGAGCCCGTGGAGCCTCGGGTGGGGGCAGGCCTGGAGGACACGGAATAATTTTTGTTTTGTTTTGTTTGAGACAGTCTCGCACTGTGGCCTAGGCTGGAGTGTAGTGATGTGCTCTCGGCTCACTGCAACCACTGCCTCCTAGGTTCAAGCAATTCTCCTGCCTTAGCCTCTGAAGCAGCTAGGATTACAGCGTCACAACGCTGACTAACTTTTGTATTTTTAGTAGAGACGGGGTTTCACCATGTTGACCAGGCTGGTCTTGAACTCCTAACCTCAGGTGATCTGCCTGCCTCGGCCTCCCAAAGTGCTGGGATTACAGGTATGAGCCACCACGCCCAGTCAAGGACACTGAATTTGGCCTGGACTGAACCCCAAGGCTGCCCCCCTGTCCTTGGAGTCACAGTGACAGGGAGAAAGCACAGGTCACCCTTCCTTCCACAGTGCCGACTGAGAGCGCCACCACACCCTCAGAGACGTGTGTCGGAGTTGCCCAGCCCAGCTCGGCCCACGTGGGACCTCACTGCATTCCCAGCACCGAAAGCATCATAGTTCCCCCCAGTTATATGTAGCATAAATGGTTTAATTATAAATGTCTCCTTTAGGCATGATAAACATTTTAACACCCACGCGAGTCGATGTATGATTGGGCTATCTCCTATTTGTGTGAGTCACATGCAATTCCTTTCACCAGTCACCCTGAAAAAAGACTTTTCTCTTACTGTGTCATCAGAAACCAGACAGACCCAGGTCCCTGCAAAATCTCCAGTGGGCCTTTTCCCCACAGGAAAGCAGAATCTTCCACTGCAGCTAGAGAAACTCAGAGGATAAGGGACTTAATGCTTCAGACATCAAAATGAGAAGGGGAGAGAGGAAAGAAAGGGGGGAGTCCGTGAGGCACAACGGAGAATTCTCCCAAAGTGATATGACCATGACCCTCTCCTCAGAGGGCACTATCAAGAGCCCACAGGTGCCAGACCCACGTCCCGAGGGAGAAGGAACATCAGCCATCATCTCTGTGCGTGAGCTCAGTGTCAGATAGTTACTGTGGCGGGATGCTGTCCAGCCTAAAAAATGTGACCATTCCAATTCATCTTCAGCTGACAAGTTTATTTAATCCCTGAACCTGGATCCAAGGCATCTCCCTGTACAAAACATCAGACCGTGGCAGAGATTGACAAAGCAACCCAAAACAGCAGCTACCGACGGCCGCCGTGCCCACCTCAGCAGCAGCTCTGTGGGGGCCTCACTCCACCCTCACCAAACACAAGGAGGAGCCAGCACTACTGCCCCATTTCACCAGACAGGAAGGCACGAGAACTGAGACCTGCTTGAGGCCCCCACAGCTGGGGGGCAGCGGAGCCCTGTCTCCCAGCACAGACTAGAATCCCAGTAACACAGGCCCGCCAGCACCTCCAACCTGCCTTTTGGGATGATCCTCAGGCGAATATACAAAATACAGAAGAAACTACTATTATATTTTGTTGCCCTATCCCTTCAACTTGGCTCCAACTTGCTTGGCTCATCATCACAGTGGCCTCCAGAAGGTGGCGAGCTCTGCTTTTTTTTTTTTTTTTTTTTTTTTGAGACAGAGTTTTGCTCTGTCGCCCAGGCTGGAGTGCAGTGGCCAGATCTCGGCTCAGTGCAAGCTCTGCCTCCCAGGTTCATGCCATTCTCCTGCCTCAGCCTCCTGAGTAGCTGGGACTACAGGGGCCCGCCACCTCGCCCAGCTAGTTTTTTGTATTTTTAGTAGAGACAGGGTTTCACCGTGTTAGCCAGGATGGTCTTGATCTCCTGACCTCGTGATCCGCCCGTCTCGGCCTCCCAAAGTGCTGGGATTACAGGCTTGAGCCACGGCGCCCGGCGAGCTCTGCTTCTTAAGTTTCAACTGTGGAAGGCACATCTGGTCCCGGAGGAAGGATGAGGGGCTCTCTGGGGCTTGAGGGCAGGCCACCTTGTGTCCTCAGAAGCCCATTCGAGGCTTCTTCCGGGGGCGCTGAGAGCCAGAGAGGATGGGTGTGTGCTGCTGGGAGCGGGTGGTCCAGACGCTGGAGGCCTGGGAGGAGGGGGGTGTGGCGGCACATGCTGGGGTGCCCCTTTGGGGTGGCAGCTTAGCCGTGTAGTCATGGAGCATCTGCCGCCGCTCTGCGGGGACGCCCTGGGCACACGCATCCGGAGTCAGCTCCTGGGAGGGTGGGGTCATGGGGGGCTGGGGCAGAGCATCAGCAGGTGGCCACTCAGGGCTGTGAGGGGGGCTGGTGTCCTCTGAGGGGTCCACATGGCCACTGAGCGAAAAGGTGCTGGACAGCTGGGTCCGGCGCTTGGGCCGCCTGGGCTGTCTCCCGGGCCCTGAGGTCCTGCCCTGCTGCCTCTCCCACCAGGCAGCCCCTCGGCCTGCCCAGGCTTCCCCCAGGCGCTCACTGAGCTTGTCCTCTGGGCCCGACTCGGGTGCAGGGGGTGGCTCTGCCGCAGGGAGGGAGCCCAGGTCTTTCTGCAGCAGGAGCCGCCCTTGGGCCATGGCCTTGCGGAGCACGTCTGGCCGCTGCCCTTCCTCTTCCTCCCGCCGCAGCTCTATGCTACCCAGCAGCTGGCGGTGGGTGAAGGTGGGCGCTGTCCACACAGGAGGAGCCAGGGGCACTTTTAGCAGGGCCTTCAGCCACTGGCTGCAGCCGGCAGTGTCCTGGGAGGTCCAGGAAGCAGTGGGGGCACGACAGTCAGACTCGGTGTCGCCGCGAGGCCCGGAGTCTCTGCGGTGTTCGGAGTCCGCCTGGGGGCGGAGCTGCTGGTAGAAGACGTCTCCCGCCGCCGAGAGCTGGAAGAGCACCAGGCCTGGTGTGGGCGCCGAGGGCAAGGGTGGGACGACGGCGGCCAGACCTGGTGACGGGAATGACAATGACCTCCAGGGACTGGCGGGGAGAGCGGGTATTTTCCACCGCGCCCCCCAAGCTCACTCCCCTGCCCCAGCACACCTATGGTTGGTGCTTTCAGGCGCTCCTGCAGCCGCCACTGGATCTTAGGCTCCAGCAGAGGAAATGCAGGGAGGGAGTCAGTCCTGGAAGGAAGAGACTGGGGGGGGCCTGCCAGGCAAGGCACTGACGCCCCTTCTCCTGAGGAAGGACAGATAGCTGAGGCCCCATCCAGGCTCCGACCGCCCCACCTCCCACACGCCGCCCACCCTGGCCTAGACCCTCACCAGCCAGGTGCAGCAGTTGCAGCTGCCCACCCTGGCCTCCGAGGAGCAGGGGCTGCACGCAGCCGGGTCGGGGCGGAGGCAGCAGTCGGGCCAGCAGGAGTGGGGAGGGGAGGCCATGGTTCCACTTCAGCATCGGCACCAGGGGGAGGCGCTCGTCCACTAGGTAGAGAGAGAACTGGGGCCCGAGAAAGAAGGGGGATGTGGCCGAACCTGGGAGCTGAGCTGTGTAGCGGCCCTCCAGGCCCCATGTGGCTCTCCGGGTGAGTACAGAGCCCTGAGGGGCAGCAGCATCTCCCATCAGCCTCCAAGTGCCTCTCAGACCGCACCTGCCAGCCCTGAACAGGAGGTGCTTCCCGAGTGGGTGGCACCTTCACCGATTCTGACCAACAGCCAGGTGGACAGACAGAACAAGTGGGAAAGGTGTGCTCAGAAGAGGTGTGGGGGAGCCTTGCCAGCAGAAACCTGCCTGGCCTTCCCGCAGCCACCCCCACACTCTCCTGACCCCAGAGCCTATGCTGGAGGCATGCCTACAAACGTCCCCAGGAGGGCAGGGGGAGGACGGACCTGCTCCCTCAGAGCCCCTGCCTCCTGCACAGCAGAAACTGTCCAGCTCTGCATGAAAGCCCCACCCCGAGGCTGCTCCTCCCCCACCGCTCCACCCCTGGCTGTACCCTGAAGCCCTTACCAAGGGGAGGCCCTGGGAGAGCTTCCCCGCCTGCCTGTTAGCACCGGCTGTGGGATCCACTGCGTGCTGGGGCCACAGATTCATCCAGGGTTGAGTCTGGTTTGCTGGGTGGTTATCTGGGCCCAGCAGAGCCACTGGTAAGCAGCAGCCTCTAGTGCCCATCTGAGACAGAGCAGAGGTGGGGCGGGGCGGTGGTGTGTACCACTCACCTGGGTACAGACGAGATGGAGAGTAGGGGGCAGGCATTCAGAGCTGGAGTGCCCCAGGTACTGGGTGAGCAGGACACGCTCCCCTTTCTGGCACGAAGCCTCTGCGCCCACACGAAAAAGCAACAGACCACAGCCCGGCGGGCCCTGGAAGAGAAACACAGGGTCAGCCCTCCCCACAGTCCCAGGCCCATGACGCCATCCTCGCCCAGGCCGCAGCCAGCCTGGGACTCACTGCTCTGCGGCTGCTCCCGCAGTCAGGGCAGATCTCCTGCCGCCACCCCATACCTGAGTGTCAACCATCTTCACTCCAGTGCGGTCACCCACAGTCAGCACCCGAGGGTGGGCGGTGAAGTCTGCCCAACGCCAGGAAGAGGAGTCCCGGAACACAAGGGTCTCGGGGTCCTTGTAGACTTGTTGCAGCCTTGGGGAGATGGGCAAGCCATGGGTAGGGGGGACAGGCTGATGTGGAAGGGAATCAAGGGTCGCGACATGCTGAACAGGGAGTGACGGGCCAGAGTTCAGTGTGTTAGGGTGGGGGGTTTCATGGGAAGTGGCAATACCCATCCTCAGGGCTCCACAGGCAGACGGCTCCTGAGCGGCTGCAGATGGCCAGCTCCCCGGGCAGGTGAGGGCTACAGGGCAGGAACGCATTCACATCAGGCTGCTCGCCCCTGCCCCCAGCCCCTCCTCACTGGCCAGACTGACTCCCCCTCACCTGAGGCTGATCCCTGTGGCCCCCTTCTCCACCTGCATTGCCTGCAGAAGGGTTGGCTGCCACTGTTTACCGAACTTCCACACGGCACAATGGTAGTCAGAGCGGACGGCCAGCAGAGCTGAGGAGGGATGGAAAGGGTCAGGGGTCAGGGGTCAGGCAGCAGGTCAGCCAGTGAGGGAGGAACATGTGTAAGGGCCTTACTTTCTCCCTGGACAGTGCATGTCACCACCTGCCGGACAGGTCCCTGGAGCTGGATGCGTCCAGGGTTCCCAAGGAATTGGGGACTGTCACCTGGGCTCAGAACAACCTCTTGAAAATCTGGGCCTCTCACTAAGGATCAGTGCACGAGCTGTGGCCACTGCAAGCCCCACATTCCTGCCCTTCCCTGGACCATGCCAAGAGCACCTCCTCCACCAGACGGGAGCCCGCTGGGATCGCCTGTCTCACAAGAAAGGATACGCAGCCTGTCCAGGGCGCCTCCAGCAGGGTAGACCAGCTGCCCGAACTGGGGTGTCCTTCCAGGCACCCAGGCCAGCGCACCCCCAGTGCAGGCCTCATCCAGAAGCAGCTGCTCCCACCGCAGCACCAGCTCCTCGTGCAGCAGCTCTGCCAAGTGGCTCGCCACCGATGTGCCCAGGATGGGGCCCCCAAGGATAGAGAAGCGGCGCTGTCGGTTGCTGAGGTAAGCCCAGGGACACCTGGGGACCAGAGAACAGCAGGAGGATCACTCAGTGGCACTCAGGGGAGGACAGGTCCCATCCCAAGGAGGCCAAGTGCAGTGGACACATTTCTTATTTACCTAGAATTTCTTCCTTTGGGAAACCACCCCATCCTGTTCCCATGCCCTGGAAGCAATCATGGGACCCAGACCTGGCCATCAACAATATTCCATTGCCCTTGCCACAGCGACTGGTTCACAGACGGGTGTGAGACCCAAGCCAAGCCAACCAAACTCCTTTCTGGGACTTCTGGTGCCTCAGGAAGGACACTGGCTCTTTCCTTAGATCATAAGCCATCTTGCTGCTACCTACAGACAGCCTGTCTAGGAACTGTGCAGGAAGAGACAAGTGGACGACAGAGTAAAGAGAGACACAGCTCTACGAATATTATTTGAACACCTGGATGCAGCCATGCCTGAAGCCCACAAATTTAAATCTGCTTTCCCCTGAGATGATTTGGAGTTGGAAGTCTGGTATAAGAAAGTACAGCTCAGACTGCATGGAGCAGGTGGGAAGTGGGTATGACAGAAACCTGGATGTGCGTCCTAGCACCTCCTATATCCCCACCACCAGCTACGTCTATCCATCTCCTCCTTTCTCATTAGCCACTTGCCCCCAGGGCTGGTGTCCACCGAGGTCCTGGAGCAGTTTCTTCACACTGACCACTGTCGTCTTCTTAGTGCGGCTCTGCATGGAAAGGCCTCGTCAAGCTCACACACCCTCAAGTTCACCCCTGAAGGACAGCAGGGAGTCCCTACCCCTGGTGTCATGGGCCACTCACCCCTGCTCCCTCCAGCTTGAAATTCTCCAGCATCAGCTTCCCCAGGGGTGCAAAGGCTACGTCTCCATGATCCCAGAGGAACCGGCTGATCTGGGGAGAGGAGGAGGCCAGGTCACTAAGCATAGTCTCCAGGCTACGCAGCACTGTCCCCCGTGGGCCCACTCACCTGCTCAGTAA